ACAGTCTGTAAGGAAGCCCAAGGGAACCGCCGGACAGGAAAGGGTAGTGGAACTACGTGCAACTACCAGACTTGAGGAATGGTCAGCAATCGCTACAGTGGCAGGGGCGACAAGCGACGCGAGCGAAGTGTGGTCATGAAAGAAGCAGGTAGACACACCAGAGTCTACCGTGAAGGAAAGTGCGGTGGTAGCATCAGCCAGCGGGGGCACTAGCGTGTAACATAGGCACTAGCATGAGATCCTATGCCTATTGCAGCAGGGGAGCCTAGACTATATATAGTGAACACACTTACACTAGGAAACTTAGGTAATAGGGTCCAGTCACACTAGAGTCATCAGCATACATATCTATCTCAAAGATTGGCACACGACGACGTACTGGGCTATGCTAGTCCGGGAGGTCCGGCGCAGTGCCGAAGCGGAGACGGAAGAGGTCGTTGAGGTGGCTGTAGCAGCGGGCGGTAGTGTGACCGGGACGGTTGCACACGGCACCGCGGTGGGGGCCGGTCGGGAGCTGGTACTGGCAGATCACCACACTGGAGCCGCCACCTGACACCGAGTTGCACACACCGCCACCGTGACCCCCACCACCAAGGACACTAGGCCACTAGGGCGGCGGAGGTCCCCACGGCTGCAGCAGCAGCAGTAGCAGTAGCTGCTGCTGCTACGGCTGCTTTTGCTGGGGCTGCTGCTGCTGTTGCGGCTGCTGCTCCTGCTGCTGCATTGGGGCATCAGCCCCGGTCCCCTCATCTGCACCACCGGCACAGACTGTGCAGGCGAGCTCAGCGGCTGCAAAGGCCTCACGCCCAGTGGGCATGGGGGCGTCAAGGAGGGCAGAAGGCGGGCCGGGGCAGGGGAGCTTACCATCGACGTGGACGGTCAGGGACTGGCCGTCCTGGCACTGACCCTTCAGCTGCCGGCGGAGGTCAGTAAGCCACGCCTCGAAGTCGACCACATGACCCTCCGCGTCTAGACGGAGCACAGCATCAGCCATCACCACGGCCGCAGTGGCTGACGGTGACACGGCCCAGCGGCACGGCTGTGCTGTGGCACGGCGGCACTGCGACACGGCGACACACTGGCACGGCGACTCGGTGACACGGCGACCCAGCAGCACGGCGGCCCAGCGAGCTGGGGTGGCAGGAGCAGGGGCCGGGGGGACAAGGGCCGGCTGGAATGGGGGCCGGCTTGAAACGGGGGCCGGCTCGAACGGGGGCCGGCACGCACTGGGGGCTGGCACGAACTAGGGCCGACGAGCTGGGGCCAGCGAGCTAGGGCTGGCGAGCTAGGGCCAACGAGCGCGTGAGAGGGCAGCGAGCGAGCTAGGGGCCGGCGACTTAGGGGCCTGCGAGCTAGGGGCCAGTGAGCGAGGGGTAGGCGAGCTAGGGGCAGGCGAGTGAGGGGCTAGCGAGCACGGGGTCGGCGAGCGCAGAGCCAGTGAGCGCGGGGCTGGCGAGCGCAGGGTCGGCGAGCAAGGGGCCGGTGAGCGTGGGGCCAGCGAGCGCGGGGCCGGCGAGCGCGGGGCCAGCGAGCATGGGGCTAGCGAGCGTGGGGCCGACGAGCAAGGGGCCGACAAGCGCGGGGCCGGCGAGCGAGGGGCCAGCGAGCGCGGGGCCGCCAAGCGCGGGGCCGGCGAGCGCAGGGCCAGCGAGTGAAGGGCCGGCAAGCGCGGGGTCGGCGAGTGAAGGGCCGACAAGCGCGGAGCCGGCGAGCTAGGGCGGCTAGGGCAGTCTAGGGCGGCTAGGGCGGGCTAGAGCGGCTAGGGCGGGCTAAGTCGGATAGGGCAGAAGCACGGGTGGGTGGACCTAACCTAGCTGATATCATCTAAGAGTAACCGAATGACTAGAATGAAGGCATACAAGGGAGTATATGGTTGGCTGTTGTACTCTCTAAGAGCACGAACCTTTTTAGCCTATAACTACTACGTAGGCATACATGTATAAGTTGACAGAAAGCTCTACAATTCACGAAGGACTCTACCTTCAAGAGTTACTTCAAGAGGCAAAAATCGCAACAACCCGTAACTTCCAAGTTACTCTGCGACATCCAGAGCACAATCAAGATTGCAAACAAGCCTGGCTTCATCAACAAAACAAAACACATCACCCTCCGTTACTTCTTTGTCAAGGACGAAATCGACAAAGGGAAGGTCATCTTGAAATACTGCCCTACATAAGAAATGGCAGCTGATTTTCTGACGAAGAAACTCCCATGCGGCAAGTTTCAATATTGCTCAAACCTGGTTGGAATCTGCAAATGCGGCGACACTTACCCAGACACACACTTAGGAATGAAGGGGAGTGTTGAAGTACACTCGGTAGAATTACCATTTATGTATTCCTGATATTTACACTTATATTTACGATACCTCATATGGAAGGACACTCGTGATGACGTCAGCTGTAGCGAGTCAACGAGTGAATAGTAGGTTCGCGCGTATAGTCACTCGAAGGGTCACGCCACTCTCAGTCACATGAATAGTCACTAAGTCATGTCATGCGAATAGTCGCGATACACTATGAACAGGTCAGGCCCTCAGATAGCATGATAAAACAACCTGAAAGCCTGATGTTCAGGGTGTGGTCTAATTGTGTGCCTTGAGATTTTAGGGTTTTCATTTTTTTTTTTGCCTGAAATTTCAGGATATATGTTCTATAGTACCCTGTTATTTCATAGTGTTCTGATCTGCCAAGCCCTGAGGCCTCAGGGTATTACCGGGGACAGACCTAGCTGTAGGTGAGGCGGAGCATAGCGTCCGCCATCACCACGGCCGCAGCAGCTGACAACGGCACCGCGGCACGGCAACATGGTAGCACGATGACACGACGGCGCCGTGACACGGTGACACAGCGGTATGGCCGCACGGCGGCACAACAGCATGGTGGCACGGCGGCACGGGGTCACGGCGGCACGACAGCACGGCGGCACCGCGGCACGGCGGCATGGCGGCACGGCAGCACGGCAGCACTGCAGCACGGTGGCACCGTGGCATGGCGGGAACATTGGCCGGCGCAAACTGGGGCCAGCTGGAACGGGGGCCGGTGCGAGTAGGGGCCGGTGCTAACTAGTGTGGCTGGCGCGAAGGGATGGGGCCGGCATGAAATGGCAGGGCCGGCGTGAACTAGTGGGGTCGGCGCGAAGTGGCGGGGCCAGCACGGGCTACCAGGGCCAACGCGGACTAGCGGGGCCGGCGCAAACTGACGGGGCGGCGCGAAGTGACAGGGCCGGTGCGAACTAGCGAGGCCGGCGCGAACTGACGGGGCCAGCGCGAAGCGACGGGGCCGGCGCGAACTAGCAGGGCTGGTGCAAACGGACGAGGCCGGTGCAAATGGATGGGGCCGGCACGAACTAGCAGGGCCAGCGCGAACTGACGGGGCCAGCGCGAACTGACGGGGCCAGCGCAAAGCGACGGGGCCGATGCAAACTAGCGGGGCCAGCACGAAGTGACGGAGCCGGTGCAAACTAGCAGGGCCGACGCGAACTGACGGGGCGGGCGTAAAGAGACGGGGCCGGCGCAAACTAGCGGGGCCGGCACGAACTAACGGTGCCGGCGCGGACAGAGCTAGGGCGCGGGCGCGGCTAGGGCTAGGGCACAGCTAGGACACGGCTAGGACATGGGCTAGGGCTAGGGCTAGGGCTAGGGACGGAAGCATAGGCGGGGAGGGGGATCTAACCTAGCGTGATACCATCTCATAATAATGCAATGGTCTAGAATCAGCGATACAGGGTGGTTTTGTCCTAAGGAGTTGTACTCTCTATGAATATGCACCTATCTAGCCTCAAACATATACAAATATATGTTGACATTGGTTGCACACACAAGAAATTTCGTCTCTTCCTAACCTGTCCTGATTGACATGTGGCTGGCTAGACCTGGAGTCTCTCATAGCCATGCAATCCTTTCCTCAATCAGTCGCTGGCTAATGGCAGATGTTGCAGTTTTCATCTAAAGTGATGCACTTATCATAGTGCACAATCGTGCCTCAATAAAATCGCATCAAATGCATCAAGAAATAATCAGTTAAACTTGTTGAAATGAACCACGCGTTTAGGGTGGTCAGGATCTAGAGTTGGTGGAACCACGAGTAGAAAATCAGCGGAAGACTTTACACCTTGTATTGGAAATTTCCAAAATGACAAGTATAATAATAATGAGTAATACACCTTGCATTTATAGTCTAGGAAGTACCTATGCAGAATTTATCTGTTCCAAGCCCTCATATTCAAATTTAGGCACCTTGAGCCCTCAAGGTTCACCCTCTGAAAAGCGTGCACCCCTCAGGGTTTGAGCGCTATGCACACCCTATTTACAGAGGGCATCTTCAAGACAAGACCCATCAAGGGAACGACGGAGCTGCTCCCTCACTTCTCGGGGGATTTTTTTCTCCAACTACTCAGCAGAAAGCAACATTGAATTTCCAGCGACACCCATCAACAACCACTTATGCACTACACCCTCTGAAATAGCGTTGTTCACATCATCGTGGCCACCGTTTCACTGCAATTTCCGAGATTCGTGTAACAAATGTAGTATCTTGAACACCCAGTTAGGCAAACTGACATTGACGGTGGCTATGATTGCCTGGGCTCGGAATTGAAATTGCCTCGTTTCCACCTACCAACCAAAACTACCTTCCATGCCAGTCAATTCCGTTTGTGTAGACGAACGGGCCCCAAGGTTTTTGCTTTGCCTATATCTAGAAATTTCTATCCCACTTCCATATCATAAACCAATCGCGTTCTCCCTACCCTGTCTCACATGTACCGAATCTGACTTGGGACTTAGCATTGATCTTCCACATCTTTGCTCATTTCAGACGCTCCGCGTACACAGACACCGTTCATATGTCTCACGAACATAGGCGTCAGACGGACCGCTAGCCTATCGGCACGCTAGCTCCCCCAATCTCACCACGAGGCGTTTTTCAAAGCGGCTCTAGTATTTCCTGCCACTGCTCTGGAGAGGCTCAGGGATTCATTCTCGTACGGTTTCATTCTCGTTGTCCAACACCACCGCTGACACCACTAGCCATCTAAGTTTTGCCTCGAAATCTGGAAAATCACCTAACAAAAGTCATGTCTAGGCTTCAACTCCTAGAACATCCGATGCAGCCATGGCTGCTCTTCGCTTCGTTTCCGTCCTCACCCTTAGCCTCACGTACCTTCCTTCACTCCACACGATCGCATCCTCTCGAAAATTTGGTCGAGGTATCTCATCACAAAAAAGTAAGGTCCCAAAACCCACCCGTAACTGTCCCACAGGACTCTTTTGCAACGGTTCCGGGACACAGACGTTAGGTCAGTTCAGGGACCAAAGGAAGGACAGGCTCGCTCTTGTCGGGAGGGACAGCCAGGGGACATTTGCGGGACAGGTACATGCCAGGCGAGGGATTGCCGGAGGCCACCTGTAGGTCATATGAGAGACACTTACAGGACAAAACCCACCACAGTACATCCTATATTTAGTAGGGTCCAGTTTGCTATACAATGATATAGGCATGTACCATTTTAACTATAATATGGCATACAAACAAAACAATATATCGTCATACAAAAAAAGCCTTTGTCCATTGACCACCACCAGTAAATGGACACGTAGAGAAATGGCGATTGCAGTGCATTAGCCATCCAAAACATAGGGTTATCTTGATATCTTCAACGCCAGCTTCTCCATAAAAAATAATGCTGGGTGTAAAAATCACAACACTATTACAACGAAAATTAGTATTAGTAAATACAACCCAAATTTCAGCTAGTACTGGCGTGGCAAAAACGAATCAGGCGTATGCAAACCGTTCCCAAGAAGGATTATGTACATCTCAGCAGCAACATCTCCACACAACGAAACGACACAAAAGGCCTGCTGCACCTGGAGGCAGACAAAGATATAGTGCCACATGTAATAATAATAAAAACACTTGCGCGGTTTTTGCAAAACACTAATCCTACACAGTATAAACCACCTCAAAAAATTAAGCAATAACATGTACATAGCAGCAAGTTCGACTACGCTGGATAATAAACCAGGGGAGAAAGGCATGGCAAACATAATAGTTTAGAACGCAGACCATATGATGCAACAAAAGCATCGCTTTATACCGAAATTGCGGAACAGAAACCAGTGTAAATAAAGAGAAAATATTTTTAAGGTCTGACTATAAGGCATGACAACTCCCATGAAAATACCGAATTTCCAGTCGGAGCAGTCGATGAGTAATACACCTTGCATTTATAGTCTAGGAAGTACCTATGCGGAATTTATCTGTTCCAAGCCCTCAGATTCAAATTTAGGCACCCTGATGTTAACGTAGAAACGAATGATTACTAGAGGTGGAAACCTAGAACAAATACTAGTTGGTTGTACTCACTAGAAGCATACCTCAGTCTAGCCTATAACTTCTACATAGATAATATGTATAAGTTGACACACCCCCTAGGCTAGACAAGGGGTGAAACTAAACAAGAAGCAAACAGCTCAGGGCGGCACTACTAGTCCAACCACTGAGGCAGGGGTCTGGAGACCAGTCAGCAAGAATACCACCAAAACTAAAGCAAGCCAGGGTGGCACTACTAGTCCAGCCACTGGAGGTAAGGCCACAAGGCCAGTCTGACAAGCATATATAATAGAGAGTACACAATCAGGATCCTAACAGGGGAGCAGCTACAGGAACAAGACCAAGCTGTACACAGTGCCGCTGATGATCTTTAGGCGCAAGCGCCTTAGTAAAGATATCAGCTGTGTTGGCACCTGAGGCCAAGTGAACTACGCGGGCCTGGCGGCGCTGCTGTAGCTCGCGCAGGAGGAAGTACCGCAGCTGGATATGCTTCGCTCTGCCCTCAAGTCGAGGCTCCTGACACAGGAGGATCATGGCCCTGTTGTCAGCGTACAGGACCGGGGCAGAGCTAGGCTGCTCACCTAAGTCTGTGAGCAAGAAGGTCAGCCAGCGGAGCTCCTGTGCCGCCATGGCACCAGCGTAGATCTCAGCCTCACAGCTAGACTGAGCCACAGACGACGAGCGAGTGGATCTCCAAGAGATAGCACCCGAACCAAGGCTGAAACAGTAGCCCTGCGACGACCTGAGCGTCTCAGCGTCGTCTGCCCAAGAAGCGTCTGTGTGCCCAGTAAGGACCACTGGCCTGCGTCCTCCTAGCACTAACCCCATGCCTGATGTACTAGCAAGATAACGCAAAACCCTCTTAGCGGCAGACCAGTGCTGAGGTCGGTGTCTGCCTGTAGCCACAAAGCGAGCCAGGATGCTGAGAGGGTATACGAGATCTGGGCGAGTGCAAGTCATCAGGTACATGAGGCAACCCACCAGCTCTGCGTAGGGGCCACTGGGCTCTACTGGCTCCTCAGGAACGGGAGCAGAGAGCCCATGGTCTACGGGTAGAGGTGTGGGCTGTGCGGAGGAGAACTGAAGACCGAACCTCTGAAGGACCTGACGCACCAAGTGTGACTGGGTCAGAGTGATGGTGCGTGCTGCTCTGTCCCTAGAGATCTGCAGGCCAAGATAGCGACGCAGCTCTCCAAGGTCAGTGCAGGTGTGTCTCTTCAGCAGCTCAGCCTTCACAGAGGCCAGTGCGTCCCTGTCAGGAGTAGCGAAGACCAGGTCGTCTACGTAGACAAGGATGTAGAACGGAGTCTGGCCGGAACGCACAAACAGTGAAGGGTCAGCAGAGGACGGAAAGAACTGCAGGTCTGCTAACGTGGCACGTAGCGTGTCGTGCCACTCGCGGGGAGCCTGACGCAGGCCGTAGACCGGGCGCCTGAGAAGCCACTGGGTCCCAGGAGGGAAGGTACCAGTGAAGCCCTGTGGTCGGCGCAGGTAGACCTGCTCGTGTAGGCTGCCCTGAAGAAAGGCAGTAGAGAAGTCGAGGGAGTGAAGCTCGTAGTCACGCTGTGCTGCTACGTGTAGCAGCGCCCGAAGAGTGGTCATCTTCGGGGTCGGGGCGAAGGTCTGGAAGAAGTCAACCCCCTCGCGCTGACTGAAACCTCTGGCCACGTAGCGCGCCTTGAAGACAGGCGGCTCTCCAGGGGGGCGCTTCACCTTGAAGAGCCACCGACCATCGACTACGTTCACCCCAGGCGGGGGAACTGCGTCGACGTAAGTGCCGGTGGATCTCCAAGATGCCATCTCCTGCTCCATGACAGCTATCCACTGAGAGGCCCAAGGTCCCGAGGTGGCCTCAGCGTAGGTGCGAGGGGTCGGGATGTCGAAGGCGTCTGGGTCACCCTCAGGGACTAACAGCATGGAGCAGAGATGGGGAGCAGCCTCGGAAAGGAAAGCCAGCTCGTACTGCCTGTCCTCTAGGACGTCACTGCCAAGGGCAGGAGCACCCCCGACGGACAGAGGACGGGCAGGGTCAGAGACCAGAGCGGTAGCGTAGTCAAGGCGGCGGGTAGAAGCGAAGTCAGCGACAGCAGCGACAAGCGCGTCAAGGCGCGAGACAGGAACAGCAGGGTCGGTAACAAGAGAGGCAAGGACCCGAGGGACAAGGGGACGAGCAGCACGGAGGTAGTCAGAGAACGGAGGAGGTGCAACAGCAAGGGACGAGGGAGGAGGGGACGGGAGGAGGGGAGGACGAGACGAGTGGGAACGGAGCAACATAGGGTGGGTGGGCAGGACAGGAGAGACGGGACGAGCACGGGAGGGACGGCGAGCCCAAACGTGAGACGGAGGGGTAGGGTCAGGGGACAGCGGAGGAGACACAGGAGGGGAACGAGGAGGAAGACGGGCCGGAGACGAGTCTGGCGGCGGGAACACAGGACCGTAGACAGGAAGGTCAGGAGGCGGTGGGGGAGACACCGGCGCGCGGTCCGGGGAGGGAAGGCCGAGCAGGCGGAGAGCGGAAACCGGCGGCGACGGCTGCTGCGGCGGCGACGACGGCTGGGCCGGAACTCTCGGACCAGCAGAGGCAGAACGACCGTCGGCAGAACACTCAACAGCAGCACCCCCAGAACCAACACCCCCAGAGCGAGAACCCCCTCCAACACCAGCGGCACCTGCAGAAGCCGCAGGACGAACACCCTCCTCCACACCAGCACCCCCAGGGGCCGAGAGCAGCGGCGGCAGTGGCGGCAACGGCTGCGGCGGCGGCGACAGCGGCGAAGGCTGCGGCAGCGACAGCGGCGGCGGCGGCGACGACAGCGGCGACGGCTGCGGCGGCGACGGCGACGGCGGCGGCAGCGGGGTCGGCGACTGCGACAGTGGGGGCGGAGGCACCGGGGAAGGGGGACGCGGCAAGGACGGACCGGGGGTACCACCAGAGTCAGCAGACTCCTCAACGGGGACAACCGACGGGAGGGGAGTGACGTTGGAGACACCAGACGGGGCAGGACGAGGCGGGAGAGGGGCAGGGGCTACCGGGGGAGAGGGAGCAAGGAAAAGGGGGGGGGCAACTGGGAGACCTCGGTGAGGGAAACGGCGGTAGAAGGAGACGGACTCGTCAAAGGTGACGTCACGAGAGTGGAGGAAGCGGTGAGACGGCGGGCGGTACTAGGAGGAGGCCGGGCGGCACTAGGAGGAGGCCGAGCGGCACTAGGAGGAGGCCAGGCGGGCGAGCGCTAACAGCGGGCGCGACGGGGCCTAAGGGGCGCGACGGGGCCCAGCGGGCACGACGGGGCCCAGGGGGGGCGCGACGGGGCCGAGGAGGCGCGACGGGGACCAGCGGGCACGACAGGGCCCTGGGGGGCCGCGACGGGGCCTAACGGGCGCGACAGGGCCCAGGGGGGGGCGCGACGGGGCCTAGCAGGCGCGACGGGGCCTAACGGGCGCGACGGGGCCCAGGGGGGGGCGCGACGGGGCCTAGCAGGCGCGACGGGGCCTAGGAAGCGCGAAGGGGCCCAGCGGGCGCGACGGGGCCTAGGAGGGGCGCGACGGGGCCGAACGGGCGCGACGGGACCCAGAGGGGGAGGACGCGACGGGGCTTAGGAGGCGCGACGGTGCCTAGGAGGCACGACGGGGCTCAGCGGGCTCGACGGGGCCCATGGGGGGCGCGACGGGGCCTAGGAGGCGCAACGGGGCCCAGCGGGGGCGCGTTAGGGCCTAGGGGTCGCGACGGGGCCCAGCGGGCGCGACGGGGCCCAGGGGGAGCGCGACGGGGCCTAGGAGGCGCGACGGGGCCCAGCGGGCACGACGGGGCCCAGGGGGGGCGCGACGGGGCCTAACGAGCGCGACGGGGCCCAGGGGTGGCGCGACGGGGCCTAGGGGGCGCGACGGGGCCTAGGAGGCGCGACGGGCGGAAGCGGTAGGCGGGGGGATCCTAACCTAAGCGTGATACCATGTTAACGTAGAAACGAATGATTACTAGAGGTGGAAACCTAGAACAAATACTAGTTGGTTGTACTCACTAGAAGCATACCTCAGTCTAGCCTATAACTTTTACATAGATAATATGTATAAGTTGACACCTGAGCCCTCAAGGTTCACCCTCTGAAAGGCGTGCACCCCGGATCTTGCGTCCTTCCTCACTGTCGCTGACCTTGCCACTCATGTGCGCGCACTTGAGACTAGTTACCGCACTGCTAATTGAGGCCCAACTCACTGCATTCCCTCCTCCCCTCTGCACTACCCTTTACCTCATTGCCACGTGCCTTCCTGACCGCCTTGCCACTGCCCCGCGACCACTTCCTTAGTCAGCACCCAGGTGACCTCACCCTTCCTAACTTTATCACCACCCTGTCCGCGATAGAGACCCGCCAGCGCACCATAGCTCAGTCTAGCGATACTGCGGCGGTCCCTATCTTCCAGGGCTGTGCTCCCTCTCAGTGCACTTACTCTGACGTCTCTGCCGCTATTGCTCAGACAGCCCCTACTGTTGAGACCGCTGCGGTGGCCTCAGCGCAGGCTCGTAAGGGTAGGGGACGTCGGGCCCGGGGAAGGCGTGGGGGCGGGAGGGGTGGTGTGGGTGGCGGAGGTGGCGACAGTAGTGGAGGGGACGGTGGTGCAGACGAGGGGACCGGGGCTGATGCCCCGGTGAAGCCGCAGGAGCAGCAGCAACAACCCCAGAAACAGCCCGAGCAGCAGCAGCAACAGCAGTCGCAGCAGCATCAGCAGCCACTGTGGGGACCCCCGCCGCCGTGGTGGCCCGGCGGCGCATGTGGTGGTGGTGGTGGGCCGCCCAGCTCGGTATCAGGTGGCGGCTCCATTGTGGTCACCTGCCAGTACCAGCTTCAGTCCAGCCCCCAGCGCGGCACCAAGTCTGCGACCGTCTCGGTCACTCCACCGCCCACTATTACTGCCTGGACGACCTATTCCGTCTCCGCTTCGGCCCTGCGTCGGACCCCCCCAACTGGTACAGCCTGGTGCGTCGTCGTGTGGATGTCTTTGAGCTGGATATGGATCAGATTAGGTCTGCTATGTATGTCATGCATGCTGATGACTCTAGTGTGACTGGACTCTATTACCCTGTGTTGCCTAGTGTAGGTGTGTCTACTATGTGTAGTATAGGTTCCCCTGCTGCGTCAGGCGTAGGACCACCTGCCTTGTTTAGCCTAAGGTCCACTCTAGACTCGGATGCGCCCACCACCTTGTTTCACAACCACACTGCGCTCATGCCGCATGCTGCCCCTGCCGTTGTAGCGCTTGCTGACCCCTCGTGAGAGTACGACCCCGTTACACCAATTTCCCTTTCTATATCTCCTTTCTATTTTCTTCCTCATTTTCTCTCATCTCATTTGGTTTCCTATTTCCACTATTCCATTATCCTTTGGTTTATCCTGTTAATATAATTATATCACCGACCAGGCTTGGGATGTACTGGCATGTTATATCTAGCATAATCCTGTCGTAATCCCTTAAAGCCAATAGCCTCACGTGGCTATACACAGGGTGATTCTATTTCTAAAAGGGTCTATTCCCTTTGGATAGGATAAACCTGGTTACCTGATGTACTTTGGAAGTATAAAAGCGCCTTGTATCAATCGATAGTGCAACTTTTCCTCGACACATTCGATCCTGTAACACTTGGTAATCAGAGCTTTTCTCATTCAGACGCGCTCAGCTAAGCAGGAGCAGCGGGAAAACCTGCTTCTAAAAACCGCCGGGGGTGACCAATTCGGCGCCGATTCTAGTAAGCATCAGCTCCGAGTGTTTTGAACGAATGGCGAACTTCGACAACGTCGAGGTTACCCAGCAGCTCTTAACGAGCATCGCCGCCCTTTAGGAGGATATGCGAGCCGATCGCGAAGCTTGGCAAAACGAGTTCGAGCGAGTAACTCGACTAGCCGGCGCGCAGAACGACGCGACAACGGCGATGACGCAGCAGTCGCAGCAGTTTCTCAAGGCTCCGAAACTGTGCCCACCTGAGCCATTCGATCCGAGTGATCGAAACTCCGACGTCCGCAGATGGATCGCCGGCATAGAGATCTACTTCGCAGCCGTCGGATGGAGCTCACCAGTCTGGGATGGTCAACGCGTACGACTTGCAGCGACACTGATGCGAGAACTAGCACTCGAGTGGATCGGCAGTAACAGTACCTTCATCCACGGCGAAGCCACGTGGCAGCAATTCCGCACCGACCTGCTGAAACGCTTTGAGCCGATAAATTCGGGTTTCCTTGCCCGGGAAAAAAAATCATCGCCATCGACAGTTCGGGAGTGTAGCGCAGTACACACAATAGATGGAGGAATTTTATAACTGCATTCCTGACCTGACCGAAGGGGAAAAGGTACAGTCCTATCTCGCCGGGCTGAGGACCAAAGTCAAACGATAGGTAGCAGCGACAAACTATGCGAGCTACAGTGACGTCGTTTCGGCAGCAGAGCGCTTCGACATGGTCAACGCCGGAACACGACGGGCGCACGTCGGCAGTACGTGATAGGGCGACCACTCGGCTCACACCACGTTTGCCGACCCAATGGAAATCGACAGGTTCGACAAAAAAACAGAGTTCGCCAGTGATTGCGGATCTAGCTGGCGAAAAAGAAATATCTGAAAGCGGCCGTGGGATTCCAGGAAAATCGACTTCAACGAAGCTGATTCGGCGCGAGTGGGTGGAAATGATGGGGAAAAATCTCCACCCCACGACCAGTCTTCGCCAGAGAAAACCGTTGAGAAAAAATCTGACTCCGCGAAAAAGGACTCTACGGATACGGGGAAACTCCAAGAAGACCCAAGAAATTATAAGGATTCGTTAAAGTTACCTTACAAAGATGCTTTAATGAAAACTTATGATTCTCGAAGAGCTAGAGCCTTTGAGAAATTTTGGGAGGGACTCCAGAAGAAGCAGAAACTTGTGGAGATCATACCGGTACCGGAAAACTTGGGGACAAAATTAAGGAGTGTGGAAAGAAGCCGACCTTTCCACAAAGTCAACGTCCTCTCCCGACACCAGCCCACAACGACTACCCGTTCAAGAGGAAGCTGGGGGTCTACAAGAAGCTGCAAAAACCCTGAACTCCTCCTCCGGATGCATCCAGCTCAGCAAATTCGGCATCAACGACACACACACTCAAGAAAACTCTAGGATCTTGAGGGAGAGACTCTCTCCAAGCAGCCCTGGCCAGCTGCTAACCCACTAGCAGATGGCAAGAAAAAGTTGTGTATGGAATATTGGGATGTACCCGATGATCCTATTAACGAAACTATCTTTGGGTACTCCGAGCAACACCCGCCCCTCGTGCTCGAGGTCATCTGCAAAGGACGACGCCTCCAAGCACTTGTGGACAGCGGAGCTTCGCACACCATCTGCGATAAGGCAGTAATCGACCAACTTCGGGAAGAGTAAAAGCCTTCAGTATTCTTTGCAACGATGGTGGACGGCAGCAAGTTACCAGTACACGGCGAAGCAGTGCTACACCTACAAATCGGACCACTGCGCTGGAAACCTGCACTCCCCATCACCAACATAAAGGGCTTGACTTGATCTTCGGGCGAGACTTCCTAAAACGATTCAACCATGAGATCAACTGGGTAAATCGTACCTCAAGCATCTACAACAATGGAAGGAGAGTCCAGCTACCCAACTGGGACGATACAGGAGATATTCCAGAGGAGACACTCGCACGATTCGAGAAGGACGTAAAGCAAACCGATACTGGATTCCTGGCGATAGCAACAGAGGTGGAAAGCAACGGAGAGAAAACCTCGAAATGTCCACAATAAATCAAGGAATTACTGAAGGAGTTCCAAGACATTCTCCTCGACGACCTTCCAAACAAGCTGTCGCCAGAACGAACGCACCAACACAAGATCGTGGAAGAACCAGGTTTGAAGCCGACCTTTCGAGCACCATATCGGCTCAGCCCCACAGAGCTAGCCGACATGAAGAAGCAGATCGAGTATCTCCTCGCCAAAGGACTCATCCGACCATCCACTTCGCCATACGGTGCCCCAGTACTCTTCACACCGAAACCGGACAGAAGCCTGCACATGTGCATCGATTACCGAGCTCTCAACAAGCAGACCATCAGGAGCAAATACCCAGTCCCACAAATCGATGACCTGCTTGACCAGCTACGGGGAGCCACGGTATTTACAAAACTAGATCCGCGATCCAGATACTGGCAGATACGAATGGCGGACAATTCCATCCACAAAACTGCCTTCCGAACTCGATACGGGTCGTGCGAGTATCTGGTAATGCCGTTCGGACTCACCAACTCACCAGCAACGTTCCAAGCCGAAATGAACCATATTCTATGCCCACTCTTGGACAAGTGTGTGGTGGTGTACCTGGACGACATTCTCATCTACTCGCGCGACATGCAGCAACACGTCCAACACCTGCGACGCGTCTTCGACATTCTCCGATGATGACGATTCTACGTCAAGTTATCCAAGAGCGAATTTTTCCTCGAGAAAGTCCAATTCCTATGACACATAGTGAGCACTCAAGGAGTTCGCGTCAACCCCAAAAAGATAAAGGCTGTATGCACGTGGAAGACACCCGAGAATGTGAAGGAGTTTCAGCAATTCCTAGGCTTCGCTCACTATTACATCAGGTTCGTGCCATTGTACACAAAAATCGCAACGCCATTCACGAAACTGCTGAAGAAGAACACGCCCTATAAGTGGGAACCAAAGCATCAGGAAGCCATGGAGCAGCTGAAACAAGCACCCACCTCCATGCCTGTACTCATCTTGCCAGACCCTGAACTCGACTACGTCATCGAAGCTGTCGCCAGTGACCACGCAGTGGGAGCAGTCTTGATGCAAGACTAGGGGAATGGACTGCAACCAATCGCCTACCTCAGCAAGAAACTACACGGGGCACAACTCCACTACCCGATACACGACAAAGAGGCCCTAGCTATTGTCATCGCCTTCAAAACGTGGAGATGTTATCTCGAAGGACGACAAACAACTGTCTACACCGACCACTGCAGCCTGAAATATTTGAAGACCCAACCAAACCTCTCAAGTCGGCAGGTCCGGTGGATGGAGTTCCTCGAGACGCACTTCCACTACGACATCGTGTACAAGCCCGGCCACAAAAACAAAGCAGATGCTCTCAGTTGGTCTGCACACGTTGCTGCCATCCAGGTCGAAGGGATGAACCCACTTCTCAAGGGACTCTTCACACACGGGTATGACATCGACCACGAAATTCCTTTGGGAGCAAAACGGCACCTGCTACAGTGGGACGGCGACATCGCATACCGGAAGGGATCAACGAAAATCTGGGTACCCAATCACCCTCCTTTGCGCTAGTTACTACTCGAAGGATACCACGATGTCCTATACGCAGGACACTTCGGTAGCAACAAGACACTCACCGGTATTGCAAAGCACTACTACTGGCCCCACATGGCAGCCGACGTCCAACAATTCGTCACCTCGTGTGCAACATGTCAGCGGATGAAGAGCAGCAAGCAGAAAAAAACAGGACTACTACAGCCTCTTCCTGTCCCAGAACAGCCATGGCAAGTGGTTAGCCTGGATTTCATCACCGGGTTACTAGCTACTACTAGCGGACATGACACAATCCTCGTGGTCATCGACAAATTCTCCAAAATGGGACACTTTATCCCGACACACACGACAGCACGCACCGAAGAAACATCACAACTATTCGTTCGCTACATCATATCACAACATGGCATTCCAACCACACTCATCTCCGACCGAGACCCCAAGTTCACCAGCAAGTTCTGGAAGGAACTAATGTCTCTGCTCGGGACCAAACTAGCCATGTCATCTGCCTACCATCCACAGACAGATGGACAGACCGAGCGACTCAACCAAATTGTGGAGCAACTCCTCCGCGCAGCATCCAAAGACGAAATCTCTAAATGGGACTTGCATCTGCCCACCCTGGAGTTTGCCTGCAACAACGCAACTCACGCCGCTACTAGACAGACGCCGTTCTTCCTCTTCTACGGACGGCACCCGCTCATGCCACAAAAACCGACAGCATCAGCTACAGTTCAACCCGTACACGACTTCATTATGACCATGCATCAGCTTTGGGATCGGACCCACAAGCGCCTCCTCGACATTCATCAGCAATAGAAGCGCCAAGCAGATCGCCACCGCACTGACCACACCATCATCGTGGGAGATGAAGTCCTACTTGACATCTGCAATATCAACATCAGTCACCTACCATCCAAACTGCGACCTCGCTTCTGCGGGCCCTTTCTCGTTGAAGCACAGGTCACTCCTGTTACCTTCCGCTTACGCCTACCAACTACCTCGAAGATTCACAATGCCTTCCATGTCCAACATCTGAAGCCCTATCGAGACCCTAACACGGTCTTCACCGGACGCCAACCGCTACCGCCGCTGCTCGTCCTCGTCCACGATGAACCCGAGTACGAGTTCGAGTCCGTGCTCGCACACCACCGTCGTCGGAATGGCATCGTAGAGCTTCTCATCCGTTGGAAGGGTTATGATCCTTCTGAGGACACTTGTGTTCCTGAATCCGAGATGGGTAACGCTCGTCGTCCTCTTTGCGAATACCTTGTCAAGCAGGGTGTTACTTCTACCACCCAGCTTTGAGGGGGGGAAGTGTGAGAGTACGACCCCGTTACACTGATTTCCCTTTCTATATCTCCTTTCTATTTCATTCCTCTTTTTCTCTCATCTCATTTGGATTCCTATTTCTCCTATTCCATTATCCTTTGGTTTATCCTGTTATTAAAATTATATTACCGACCCGGCTCGGGATGTACTGGCACGCTATATCTAGCGTAATCCTATCGTAATCCTTAAAGCCAATAGCCTCGCATGGCTATACGTAGGGTGATTCTATTTCTAGAAGGGTCTATTCCCTTTGGATAGATAAACCTGGTTACCTGATGTACTTTGGAAGTATAAAAGTGCCTTGTATCCATCGATAGTGCAACTTTTCCTCAACACATTTGATCCTGTGACACCCCTCCTCAGGTCTTGTAGTTGCACATAGCTCCACTACCCTTCCCAGTCCGGCGGTTCTGTCGGGCTCCCTTACAGGCTTGCACATCCACTCGTTCTCCAGGAAACTAGTTGGTGTCGGCTGACCACAGCGTCACCACTACGTTTCCTAGATACGAGCGGTACATAGTCTGCACCAAGGGCGCCAGTGGTGCCGTCTCACCACGTTCCCCTGGGACCCAGTATCTTGCCTGTTCACTCCAAAACACTGCTTCCCCCCTGAAGGTAGCATCCCCCCAGGTGGTCGCGCCCTTCCACGTCGCTGCGGCTTGCTCGTATTGATCGCCCACCCACCCATCGCTGCTCTGAAACCATCGCATATGTGACCCTGAACTTCCACGTCTGCGTCGCATGTCCCAAGACGGTCTTGTCTTAGGTCTCCCTACGTCACTCCCTACACTCCCTCCCTCGCCAGCGCCGCCGTGCACGCCCTGTGTCAAAGGCCGGCTGCACCAGGCCCCTTACTCCTCCTTGCTTCCCCCTACCACTACGCCATTCCAGCCCTACACTTGGACGACTGGGGCCCAGCCCCTGTCCCTGGGTCTCGTCGATGACTACACGCCCTACACCACGGTGTTTCCCTTGGAGCGGAAGGCCGACGTGCCTGACAATCTTATCTCGTGGGTCATAGCTGCGCGAGTCCACCGCGGCCTCCCTGTGCTGCGTCTTCACTCTGACCGTGGTGGCGAGTTCTCCTCTGGTCAACTTGGCCAGTTCTATCGTGCGAAGGGCATCACCTAGTCGTACACCCTGTCAGACTACCTGAAGATGAATGGGGTCGCTGAGAGACGCTTCGGTTTGGTCATAGAGATGGCTCGTACCTCCATGATCCATGCCGGTGCACACCACTTTCTGTAGCCGCTCGCTGTTCGCTACACCGCTCACTAGCTTAACATGTGGCCACAGTCCCAGCAGCCGCAGATTTCACCGACCCTCCTCTGGACCGGGTCCCCTAGTGTCGAGTTTGCGTTCCACGTATGGGGCTGCCGTGGGGGTGGCACGGGTGCTGGAGAGGTTTCTCGTTAAAAAGATGTTGGCGTTGAGTGTCCCGTAGGTAGCCGTGGTGCAGTTGGAGGTTGTGGTGTCGGCGTGGAGTAGCAGCAGCAGCAATTGCCGACGGTGTCTGCCCTTCGCCTCCTTGTTCTTCCAATCCCAACTGCCCGCTTGCACCTCCCCTGCCATCGCCGCCTCCCTCGCCTGTCTACGGCCCTGTGTTTCCTCCTCTGGTCTCATCCCCGGCTTGTTTCCTCCCTCGTTCTCCTGCTGTGTCTCCTTCCTTGTCTCCTGACCCGACCACCCCCTCCCACTTGTGGTCTCATTGTGCCTCTCGTGCTTGTTCTGCCTCTCATGTTCAGTGCTCTCACCCTATGTTGCTCTTTTCTCGCATGTTTCGTGCTCCCCTTCTACCAACGCCTCCTCAGTCGTCGCTTGTTGTCTCCCCTCCTCCTCTCTCGGACTTCCTCCGTGCCGCTAGTCCGCGTTTCCCTCGCATTCTTGCTTCTCTTGTTATCGACCCGTCCGTTCCTGTCTCCAGTCTTGATGCTCTTGTCGCTGTCGTCACTGAGTTTGGCTCTACCCGCCCCCTTAAATATGCTACCGCTCTGGTTTCTGACCGTGCCTGTCCTTCGTCCATCGGGGGTGCACCTGCCCTTTGCAGTGACTTTCTAGAGGATAGGCAGTACGAGCTCGCTTTCCTGTCCGAGGGCGCTCCTCATCTTTGCTCCATGCTACTAGTCCCTGAGGGTGACCTAGATGCCCTTGACATCCCGACCCCTCGCACTTGCGTTAAGACGACCTCGGGACTCTAGGCCTCTCAGTGGATAGCTGCCATGGATGCGGAGATGGCATCTTGGAGATCCACTGTCACCTACCTCGACGCAGTTCCCCCACCTGGGGTGAACGTAATCGATGGCTGGTGGCTCTTCAAGGTGAAGCGCCCTCCTGGAGAACCGCCGGTGTTCAATGCGCGCTACGTTGATAGAGGCTTCAGTCAGCGCGAGGGTGTTGACTTCTTTTAGACCTTCGCGCCGACCCCGAAGATGACTACTCTTCGGGCGCTGCTATACATAGCAGCACACCGTGACTACGAGTTGCACTCCCTTGACTTCTCCACAGCGTTTCTCCAGGGTAGTCTGCACGAGCAGGTCTACCTGCGCCGTCCACCCGGCTTCATCGGCACCTTCGCCCCTAGTACCGACTGGCTCCTCCGACGCCCGGTTTACAACCTGCTGTAGGCGCCCCGTGAATGGCACGACACGCTGCGTGCTACGTTTGCTGACTTGCAGTTCTTCCCATCCTCTGTCGACCACTCGCTTTGCATTCGTTCTTGCCATACCCTGTTCTACATCCTTGTCTACATAGATGACCTGGTCTTCGTTACTGCAGACAAAGATGCGCTTAGCGGCCAACCCTTGCTGTGGTCGGTGTCTGCCTGTGGCCAAAGAGCGAGCCAGGATACTGAGAGGGTATGCGAGATCTAGACAAATGCTAGTCATCAAGTACATGAGGCAACCCACCACCTCTGCGTAAGGACCACTAGGCTCTACAGACTCCTTTGGGCTTGGAGCCAAGAGTCTGTGATCTACTGGCAGAGGTGTGGGTTGTGCAGAGGAGAACTGAAGGCCGAACCTCTGAAGGACCTGACGCACCAAGTGTGACTGTGTCAGAGTGTTGGTGCGCGCTGCTCTGTTCCTATAGATTTGTAGGCCAAGGTAGCAACGCAACTCTCCCAGGTCAGTGCAAGTGTTACTTCTGAGCAGCTCAGCCTTCATGGAGGCCAGTGCATCTCTGTCTATTGTAGCAAATACCATGTCGTCTATGTAGACAAGGATATAGAGCAGGGTCTGGCCAACATGAACGAAGAGCGAAGAGTCTGCAGACGACGGGAAAAACTGCAGGTCAGCTAACGTAGCACGCAGTGTGTCGTGCCACTCGCGTGGCCCTGCCGCAGGCCATAAACCAGGCGCCGGAGGAGCCACAGGGTCCCCGGGGCGAAGGTGCCGGTGAAGCCTGGCAGGCGACGCAGGTAGACCTATTCGTGCAGCCTGCCCTGAAGGAACGCTGTTAAGATGTCGAGAGAGTGCAGCTTGTAGTCACGATGTGCTGCTATACCTAGCAGCTCCTGAAGAGTAGTCATCTTCAGGGTCGAGGCAAAGGTCTGGAAGAAGTCCGTAACCTTGCGCTATCTATAGCCTCTAGCAACGTAGTGCGCCTTGAACGCTGGCGGCTCTCTTGGAGGGCGCTTCACCTTGAAAAGCCATCGAACATTGACTACGTTCACCTTAGGTGGGAGAATTGCGTCGACATAGGTGCCGCTGGGTCTCCAAGATGCCATCTCCACGTCCATGACAGCTATCCACTGAGAAGCCCAGAGTTCCGAGGTCGCCTCAGCGTAAGTGTGAGGGGTCGGGATGTCAAGGGCGTCTGGGTCACCCTCATGGACTAGCAGCATGGAACAGAGATGAGGAGCGACCTCGGACAAGAAAGCGAGCTCGTACTGCCTGTCCTCTACAACGTCACTGCAAAGGGCTGGTGCACCCCCGACGGATGAAGGACAGGCAGGGTCAGAAACCAGAGTGGTGGCATAGTCAATGCGGCAGCTAGAGGCAAAGTCAGTGACGGCAGCGACAAGAGCATCAAGACTGAAGACAGGAACAGATGGGTCGGTAACAAGAGAAGCAAGAATGCGAGGGACAAGAGGACTAGCAGTACGAGGGTAGTCAGACAGAGGAGGCGGAGCGAGGACAAGCGATGACGGAGGAGGCAAGGGGAGGAGGGGAGGACGAGATGCGTGGGAATGAAGCAATATCGGGTGAGAGCGCTGGACAGGAGAGACAGGACGAGCACAAGAGGGGCGACAAGACCAGAAGTGGGACGGAGGCGTCGGGTCAGGAGACACAAGAGTAGACACAGGAGGAGACACAAGAGGAGAAGGAGGGGGGAATGTGCAGGCATGTAAGGGAGCCCAAGGGAACCGCCCGACAAGGAAGGGTAGTGGAGCTACGGGCAACGACCGGAATGGAGGAGGGGTCAGCAAGTGCGACAACGGCAGAGGCGGCAAGCGGCATGAGCGCAGTGTGGTCGTGGAAGATGCAACCAGACGCACCATAGTCAAGCGTGAATGAGAGCGAAGTGGTAGCGGTAGCGGGCGGAGAGGCTAGCGTGGAGCCTTGGCAAAACAAGACAGAAGGTCCTACACCTGACACAGCAGGGGAGCCTAGACTACACACATGAGGCACACCTACACTAGGCAACAGAGGGTAATAAGGTTCGGTCACACTAGAGTCGTCAGCATACATGGCATGCAAGGCAGAGCAAAGCTGATCCATATCCATCTCAAAGACAGGCACATGGTGACGCACCAGACTGGGCCAGTCAGGAATAGTAGCGTAGGGCCGAATTGGAGATGGAAGAGGTCGTCAAGGCGGCGGAAGCAACGGTCAGTAGTGTGACTGGTACGACAACACAGTGCCGCTGAAGGGGTCGGTCTTGAGCTAGTACAAGCAACACACAGCGCCAAAGCTGCCACCCGACTACGAGCTGCGAGGGCCACCACCGCGGCCACCGCCACCAGAGGCACGGGGCCACCCCGGCGGGAGGCGGCCCCACTGCTGCTGCGACTGCTGCGGCGGCTGCTGCGAATGCTGCGGTGGCTGCTGCGATTGCTGCTGCTATGGCTGCTGAGGCTGCTGCTGCTCTGAAGCACAAGACGCAGCCTCCTCGTCAGAACCACCGTCCCCGCCCCCACCACCCTTCGCCCCGCCACGCCCCCCCTTGGGGAGGCGGCCCCTATCCTAATACGGCTACACTAAGGCCGCAGCAGCGGTCTCAGCAGCAGGGGCTGTCTCACCGACAGCAGCAAAGATGCCAGCGTAAGTACACTGGGAGGGAGCACAACCCTGAAAGATAGGGACCGATGCTGTACCGCTAGACTGAGCGTGAGTGCGCTGGCGGGTCTCTATCTAAGACAGGGCAGTGACAATGGCAGTAAGGGTGAGGTCACCTGGG